TAAGATAATCAGTTAATTGTACAGCAACTGCTTTCTCAATAGATTTCGAGACAAATTTCAGATTTGATATTGGACGAAAACTGCAGAATTCTTCATAGGAAAGATTGTACTTTTTTAATAGCGGTTGAACAACAGCAATCTTCAAAAAGTCAGGCATTGTACCACTTTCCAAGGAGAGGTTGATTATTCTAACTACAACGGGTAAGATGTCTTTAAAACAGTGATTTAGCATGACCACAGGGAGTGGATCCAGAGAACAGGATTTAGTTGCGATACGTTGGATTAAATGGAGCACTTCGTCTTTTCCAACCTCCCTGAAGGTGTGAAATTCATAAGGACATGAATCAGCATCAGGTATAGGATTTTCTATGTTTTTACTCAAGAGTTCATCATCGATATCACCTCGTATTTTAACAATTTTTCTGAGTGAAGAAATCACTAAATGAGTTGGCAAGTGACATTGGGTCAGGAGAAGATGGATAGCGAATAATCGTATTTGTATGCAGCAAATTGCTTACAGTCTTGAAAAGGGTTTTTGATCAGATGATCCATTATTAATTAAGTCGGTATAGTAAGCCGATTTTGAGGAGTCGATAAGTTTATTTACAGCATAACATTGTTGTTTATAGCGATTCCAATCAGCATTCGTCCTTGTTTTATGCCATTTTCTCTCAAGTTGTCTCCGAATTCGTTTCTTATCATTGATTTCGTTAGTATACCAGGGTGCCTTAGGGCGCAATGTAATTTCCCGGGATTTAATCGGTGCATGGTTATCTAAGATAGTATGAAGACAATCATACTCATTCACCAATGATACCAAATCCATAGTCGTAAAATTCTTAAGAAGAAAAGAATTTAGTACATCCGTTTTGAATTTATGAATATTAACCGCCCGCAAATTACGAAGAAGCAAATATTTCTTCACAAACTTCGGTTTCCTAATCAATAGTTGTAAATGCACAACTGAATGATCAGAAATCAGAGGATCGAAGATGTTGTAATGGTTAACAATGTTTTCTTCAGATCGCGTTATAATTAAATCCAGTGTGTGACCACTTGCATGTGTTGATCCAGAAATGTACTGCTTCAAATCAAAGGAAGCGAGAAGATCCACGAACCGTTTGGTAAGAGGGTCATTAGGATTGTCCAGATGAAAATTGAAATCTCCAGCTATCAAGAGTTGCCCGGGTGATACAATAATTCCTTCCAAAAAGGATGAGAACTCTTCAAAGAATAGAGTAGATGTCAATGAGTTAGCCGATGAAGGAGGCGGCCGATATACAACAATAATTCTAATATGTAAAAGTTCAAAAAAGAACTGTCAAGGTATTCAAATGACCTAAATACCTCCTGTACATTACGCTTAATATTAAGACTTTCCTTGAATAAGAGACCAACGCCCCCACCGATTGATCCATGTCTCGGTGTATGCAGAAAACTATAACCTGTTGGGCATAGATCCCCATAGATCATAACCGACAAATACTCCTTTCATACACCTAGGGTCTAGTTTCTTATGATCATAGTTATAAATGTAACACTCTGAGCCAAACACCCACATCTTTGACAGGTCTGGTTTTCTTCCTATCATGCTAAAATAGGGTGTACTCTTAGTCCTGTTGTTGTAACACCTATTTCTAATATGAGCGGCAGTTTGGACGGCATATGGCTACAACATCTTAGGCACACCACTCTCCAACAACAAACACCGAGCCATTTCAAATAGTGTCCGCCAGTACCTTTCCGCTGTTCCGTTCTGGTGGGGAGAATTTGGACAAGAAGTTTCATGCTTAATGGCTCTTTTCCTAAGAAGATCTTGGAAATCACCATTCATAAATTCTGTGCCATTATATGCTTTTCCAAACGTGACAAAAATATCAAGTCGTTAGTGTTATATATCAAGTCATTCGTGTTATATATCAAGTCGTTAGTGTTATATATCAAGTCGTTCATGTTTTATATCAAGTCTTCGTGTTTTATATCAAGTTGTTCGTGTTATATATCAAGTCGTTCATGTTTTATATCAAGTCTTTGTGTTCTATATCAAGTTCTTCGTGTTATAGTGTTCTATATCAAGTTCTTCGTGTTATATGTCAAGTCGTTTGTGTTTGTATGAAGTCGTTCGTGTTTTATATCAAGTCGTTTCGTGCGTGCATGTCAAGATGTCAGCTTGTTTACATCAAGTTTTACGTTCGTGTTATACATCAAGAAAGGAGAAGATAGTTTTTGATCGGCACTATTTTCACTCGAGGTCAGGGCTATTTCGGATCTGTCAGAGTACCTAGTTTTTTGATCAGCATGAAAACATATTCAAAATGGCTGCGCGAAATCGATTATATATTCCTACCCTTGAAGAATTCTTTAACGATTTTTTCAGCTAATCCAGGAATGTAGTAACTGTATACAGGAAAATAGTAACGGTAGATTGGCAGAATTTCTTGGTAGGCGCCTAGAGGAAAATCAACGTTCGCTGCGCGTGATGTACGGCAGACTCCGGGATTTTCGCAACAACACACCTGGTCTTCTGAATGACTTCGAACAAATACTGGACGTTGTTAGTCGTATATTAAAGGGAACTTGGAATTACTTTATAGCAATGATTTTGGCGACGAGTCCAGAGAATGCACTTTGTACGACGGTAAATCATGGCCTTGTTGGATGACCTCGCTAAAAAGTCGCTATCAGAGACAAATTTTAAGAGTCGAGTTGGGATTTAGATGGGTAGACATTGCTACAATATTGGGAATATCGTCCAGAACCTTGAACCGTCGTCGTCACGCATTTGATATGTAAGTCGGGCAAGATTACAACTTCTCAAATATAAGTACTGAAGAACTCGACAGGGTTGTTAGTGAAATATTAATAATAGAGAGGTTGAAGATACCCCTGTTCTGGTTTACGGGTACGGGTGATATACACGTACCCGTACCCGTAAGTCGGGGAACAACTTGTAACTTAAGAAATCCAAGATAGTCCGGCGTGTGAAAACCGATCAGAGAATGGTAACTTTCGCTATTTTCGCCATAAATTGTTGAAAACTTTGACGAGCATATGTGCATTATTTATTTAGGTAAGATGTTGAAAATTTTTACTATTTAAACGGCCCACATATAGTAAAAAGACAACACCCGTACCTGTTTGTCTTTTACGTGTAGACTTTGGTTTACCGCGGGGAAACGGGTAGAAATTACGGGTAAAAATGCTGACATCAGCAAAAATTGCTGAACAAAATGGCGATACTTGTACCCGTAAATCGGAACCGGGGTATCTTAACCTCTCTATTGACACCACAGTTAGGCCTTAGCCTTGTCAGCAAAGACGGCGTGTTATAAAAATTCTACACAGACTTGTCCGACTGACATACCAAATTCGTGACGACGACGGTTCAGGATTCAGGATGATATTCCCAATATTGCAGCAATGTCTACCCATCTAAATCCCAACTCGCCTCTTAAAATTTGTATCTGGTCTTGAGTGAGTTCATAGCGAGGTCATCCAACAAGGCCATGATTTATCGTCGTACAAAGTGCATTATTCTCTGGGAACTCGTCGCCAAAATCATCGCTATAAAGTAATTCCAAGTTCCCTTTAATATACGACTAACAACGTCCAGTATTTGTTCGAAGTCATTCAGAAGATCAGGTGTGTTGTTGCGAAAATCCCGGAGTCTGAAGTACATCACGCGCAGCGAACGTTGATATTCCTCTAGGCGCCTATACCAAGAAATTCTGCCAATCTACCGTTACTATTTTCCTGTATACAGTTACTACATTGCTGGATTAGCTGAAAAAAATCATTAAAGAATTCTTCAAGGTTGGGAATATATAACCGATTTCGCGCAGCCATTTTGAATATGTTTTCTACTCTGACAGATCCGAAATAGCGCTGACCTCGAGTGAAAATAGTGCCGATCAAAAACTATCTTCTCCTTTCTTGATGTATAAAACGAACGTAAAACTTGATGTAAACAAGTTGACATCTTGACATGCACGCACGAAACGACTTGATATAAAACACTAACGACTTGATACAAACACAGACGACTTGACATATAAAACGAAGAACTTGATATAGAACACGAAGACTTGATATAAAACATGAACGACTTGATATATAACATGAACGACTTGATATAAAACACGAAGGCTTGATATAAAACACGAAGACTTGATATAAAACATGAATGACTTGATATATAACACTAATGACTTGATATATAACACGAATGACTTGATATGTAACACTAACGACTTGATATTATTGTCACGTTTGGAAAAGCATACCATTATCTGACCTCAAGCACTTTACCTGGCCATAAAGTGCACAATCGGCAAGAAACTTCTCAGTTGATAACAGGGTGTCAGTCTTATTTCTAAGGAAATATACAAAAATGGCTCCAGAAAAATCATCAGTGAATGCAATGCAATATTTAAAACCATTTTTGGACACTGGGCTAATGGGACCTGCTAAGTCTGTATGTACCTTTTCCGGCTAGGGGTTTTGTAGCTCGACTATCTGGTGCTCTATTTCTACAATTTGCAAACTTCCCTTCAGTACATGTACCACATTCTAACTTGGACCTATCTACCTTCCCTACAACTTTCATTCCAGTGACTACATTTTCTAGTTTCATTATATCATCGAAATTGCAATGCCCTAATATTTCATGTCACTTGTAAATATTGCATGCAAGACTTACCTTATCATATGAACTACTTATATTGCTATCATCATTTAGTTGATTAACAGTGTTCAAATAATACAAGCGTTCATGTTCCTCAATAATGAAAGTTGTACCATCTTGGTAGACAAGTTCATTTTTATCTTGTGAGAACTTTACTTTGGCTCCATTTGAAGTAGCTGCTCTAACAGAAAATATATTCTGTGGATACGTTGGTATGAACAGTGCGTCTTTCAGAACAGCTTTCACATATTTCCCATTTTCATCAGCTATTGATACTTCAGCATCTCCACGTTTCAGAGCCACATTATTTCTACGTGTCCCATCAGCAAGTTCCATGTAATGCTTTGCTGGGTTAAAGCTACCATCAACACGTTTCAATACATCTTTTGTAACAATATGAGATGTAGCTCCAGTATCAACAAGCATCCCATTTGCTTTGTACTGTGACTGCTTAAGGTGACTCCCTTGCACATGAAAAGTGTACGAGTGTTCATCCCCTGGGTCACCGGACTGGCCACCAAATGTCGCTTGTTTTACTTTTGTAGCTTCTAGGCCTTTTCGTTGATGTCTTCGACAGGTACTATCACTATGCGTTGTTGACTTGTGGTATGAGCACCACTTGCTTGTTTCACTCTTAGTTTTGTCAGGACAATCCTTCATGATATGACCTTTGCGACCACAAGCATAACATGTGACATAACTGGATGCAGAAAACGATGGGGACTCAGTTTTCATTACTTGATCAGTCTTTGGGTTACATTAAACTTCTCTGTTTCTTCAAAGCTTTTCAGTTGAGACTTGAACATAGCAAATGTAATTTCACTTGTACTTTGTGTAATATGGACAACAAAGGGTTTGTATGAGTCAGGTAAACCTTTTAATATCATGGCAATAACAAGCCCGTCACTAAGTGTCTCTTTAGCGTTTTTCAGGGCCATAATCGATCTTTCTGCTCGTATTAGATAGTCTGTCACTGTCTCGCTTGTTCCTTTCTCGAGTGAAGTGAGATCAGTATAAAGTGCTATTATTCTAGGTTTACCTTGGCTTGCGTAGTGGTCGCGTAAAATCTTTAAGGCTTTCCTTCCATCGCCAGCGGCATCTCTCATCACTAACGATAGGCTATTAACTCGGCGTAACTCTCTTCATTTTTCGCTTCGTCGCCTTCTTCCTCAAGTGGTTCCGACGATAGAATTGTTTTCTTCAATTTTATGGTTTGCAAATAACCGAGTAATCTCGCTTCCCAAAGCTCGTATTTCGTTTCATCTCCGTCAAATAAAAGTCTTTGCAGTTTAGCATTGCTCCTGGGCCCATAACCTGTTGAACTCATTTGGTTTATTTCGGTATATTTTATTATATATTATACGTTTTATAAAGGTTTTTGTTTTTACATAACATAATACGAGACACACACACGAGGCATCAGTGTTCTCCGATCCCATAATGCTCTTCTCATAGGATATGACGTAATATGAACAACATGAAAATATTGCGCAACAAGAAATGTCTGGAAAAATTCATGTCTTCGATGTACTTTATAATCTTCGGAATTCTGCTAGATTTCACCTTCAAAATGCTTGAAAGCGCAATTCAGGGAACCTAGATTTCAATATTTTCCCGGGGGTGCATGCCCCCGGACCCTTCTAGACGGTCTCACGCCTTCGGCGTGAGGTTCGCCCCCCCCCCCAAAAAAAAAATTAAGGTCGGCTACGCCACTGGTTATAGCTGTACGATTATAGCTACAAAGAGTTGTTTAAAGTAAAATATATTGTTTAAAGTAAAATACAGCTGAAGTTAATAAATTAAAGTTTTACAAAATCTCTCTTCAGACTCGCGCGTTAGCCAAACCTCGACGGCTCATATTTTTCATTCTGCCTTTTTTCCTGTTTTGCCCCCCAGTGAAAATTCCTTAAAAAGGCACTGTCGGGACATTTGCGGCACACAACTGCTTGACAAACTTGAATCTGCTGTTGTTCTTGAAACTCTTGGTTGGGAAACTTTAAAAGATAGAAGACACAAGATGAAGTCCATTCTTCTGTATAAAATTCTAAACGATTATACTGTTCCTAACTTGAAAGAGTCACTGACTGGGAGTATAGGTTCACGCAAGCGAATTATAATTTATGAAATAGCTATACTGATTTAGCTCTCCCAAAACTGAGAAGGGAATTCCTAAAAAAAAGTTTTAAATACAGCGGGGCAAAGCTTTCGAATAGCCTTTCTCGGGAGGCAAAAGAAGCACAATCAATCCATACTTTCAAACAAAATTTGACTCTTTTACCAATGTTAATGTTTGGGTCACACCTCTTGTATCCAGCATGCACTTTTGTAAATAGTTTTTCTTTGTTTCTACTTATTCTCTTGTAAATATTAATACTTTGTATATAAATTGACGACGCCCCTCATGAAAACCAACTTATGTTGATGAGGCTAGCGTCTTGAAATAAATTTTTACGAAACGATACGATACGATACAAAGTCCAAAGGTCACTATTATTATTGAAGACGAAGACATTTCGGCTTGTAAACTCAATTCAAACTCTGAAGTATCAACTCAACCAAATCATATTTTAACCTGCAGTGAACTTGTAGAGAAAATAAAGGATTTAGAACTCGACTTTAACATCAAAATCAGTGCTTTAACGCAAGCTAAGAAGTATCCAGTCTACAAGATAAACGGGAGGCGTATGCAAATGAGTCGCTCCTTCAAGAAAATCGAGCATTAAAGGCAGGATGAAAACAAATCCCTGCTAGAAAGGGTCGCTAATTTGTCCTTCATAGCATCCGATTTAAACACCAAACTTAAAGAATTTGAAATTGAAAAACAGTCTTTAGTCACAGTCCTTAAGCTGGTTAAATTAGACCAAAGTACCCATGATAAAATTCTCATGTGACCTGGAAAATGCACCGTGGAAGCATGAATAAAGATCAGCATTTGTTTACTCGCAGAAAAGATAGTGACGTTGTTACCAGAAACGCGTTTGAAGTCCAGAGTGATATGGGCTGTAATGAAACCAACATTTATAATTATGACGACGGCAGAAGCAAAGTCGATGACCCCAACCCTATAGCAACTTCGCAACGAGAATCCCAACGATCGAACGCAGATAATGAGTCCTGAAATAACAGAATATTACCTGCCAACAAGTCGACCAAGCATATAAACAAAAGCGGCATGCTAATGGTCAAGTAATCATGCAGAAAAATGCAAAAGATGGCAAAAAGAAATTAGTCTTTATTGCTGGCGATTCCAGTGTTCAGAATTTGAATGGCTGGGAGATGTCAATTACCTACAGAAATGTTGCCGTGAAATATATCTTTCTCAGGAAGCAAAGTCAATGATATGCAAGACTATTTGAAATCATTGCTTCGTCGCAACCCACATCAAATAATTCTCCGCGTTGGTAGACGGAAATGAAATAGTTCGCATGGATAGAGACAGACACAGTGACGGTGTCTGCTTTTACCGCATTAGGCGGACCATAGTATATTTAAATTGTAGTGATTTAGTACCAGAAAATTTAGAGTCAGTATATGTTTGGAAATTAACCAGCCCAACTCTCGTTCCTATATTATTTCTACTATATTTATCGTCCGCCGTGAGCATCCGTCGAAACTTTCTCACAAATAGAAACTTTGCTTAAGAATGTCGATAACGGGAATAAGGAAATATATTTATCATGAGATCTAAACTGTAATCAGTTAGACCAGTCCAACTCTTCTGCTAAACACTTACATTCTATCATGCAACTTTATCAACTTACACAAGTAATCGATAAGCCTACAAGAATTATTGACTCGTCTTCTACGTTACTTGACGTTTGTATTACCTCCTGTCCTGAGCGAATTGCATTCCATGATGTATATAATTTACATGGGAGTGAGTGATCATAGTTTAATTTATGAAGTAAGAAAAATTAATGCATATCACAAACCTCACGCTAGCAAATATGTCGAATTTCGAAGCTTCAAGCATTTAAATGTTGAGGATCTCAAGGTCGACCTGATAAACTTACCGTGGTATTTAGTTCACAGAGAAACTGATATTGATAATAAATGGGCATTTTGGAAAAATCATTTTATGACTGTTCTTGATAAACATGCCCTTGTTCAGGAAAAGATGGGTAAGAAATAAAACATCTGTGGAATGGATTACTAGGAATATCAGAAACAAAATGTTTGAAAGGGACCGTTTGAAAAGAAAAAAAGCAAATTCGTCAGATTTAACTGAAGACTAGCTGGAGCCAGTATAAACATTATAGGAATATAGTGTCAACATTGCAATGCGTGAAGCAAAGAAAGTTTACTACAAAAGCAAATTTGACAAATATCAAAATAATCCTAAACAGGCTTGGAGAACGATTAATGATATTCTTGACAGGAAAAAGAAGGACCCAACGATTAACGAACTAAAGTTAGGAAATGATACAGTTACTTCTCCTCTGAGAATGGCTATAATTGTCTTAATAATGACTACTTTACAAGTACTGGTGCGTAAAATTGGAGACTCCTGCTCTGAACATTCTCAGAATTTAAACCGATTTTGACAGGCATATGAGTGATAATCTAAATACTTTGGAATTACTTTGCATTCAGTAACGGAATCAAAGATTTTCAGGCTACTTAACAATTTGCGTACTGATTTCTAAGTCTACTGGATGTGATAAAATACCGGCTAAAATTCTAAAATATTCTGCTTCAGTAATTACACCATCTTTAACCAATCTGTATAGGTTATTTTGAGGCAACGAGGGGATATGTGATTGTGGGACGTGAAATGATATACTGCGCATGCTTAACCACATTAAAGCGTATATAGTGCGCATATTCAACCAGGGGCCGCGGAACCGGGGGGGGCAATGGGGGCATGTGCCCCCCCACTTTTCTTAAAAGTGAAAAAAGTGCCCTTTTTTCTGGGCTAAAATGCCCCATTTAAAAAACGAAAAAAGTATTTCTTGAATAAACGCCCTCTTTTTCTGGAAAGAAAATGCCCTTTTCGCAGTAGTAAAGACTCTGTAAAGGCCATTTCCGACGTTAGAGAGACTCCATATTTTCAAAAATTTTCGTTCGGCTCGTGAACGTCATAAAATCGTTTGATTCTGGTCATATACAAAAGTGCCCCTTTCGGTCAATGCCCCTCCACTTTCGAAATGCTTCCGCGGCCTCTGTATTCAACCTTGTGTTACGTCCCACAAGCGTAAGAGCTGTTTTGTGAAGAAAACCTCCAGGATCATGAAATAAGTTAGTTAAACACCGAGGGCGTCGGTATTTAGTCATATACATCTAGTCATATACACCGCCGCCCTCGGTATTTAACTCTAACATATAAGAAGGGTTCACACCCCGTTTTAGACAACCACAGGTCATTATCAATTTTGCCGGTTATTAGCAAAATATTTGAAAAGATATTGTATGAGCAGTTATACGAATATTTTACCACCAATAATTTATTGTCTGAACTACAGTTTGGGTTCAGGCGCTTTCATTCTACATCAGTACATCTGCAGTACTGCATTGCAAGATTGTACTGATGAGTGGTATGTTAACATGGATCGTGGTTTATATAATCTTGCCATTTTTCTCGATTTAAGAAAAGCATTTGACACGGTAAACCACCACATATTACTGGCCAAACTCGAGTTATATGGTATCAAGAATAGGCCTCGTATGCTTTTCAAATCTTATTTATCAAATCGATCTCAGCAATGTCAACTAAATGGGTAACTTTCCACGTTAAAAGATCTAAAATATGGAGTTTCCCATAGTTCAATTTTGGGTCCACTTCTGTTTTTAATTTATATCAATGATTTACCGAACTGCTTACAACACTCTACAGCACATATGTTCGCCGATGATACTAACATCACAGTGTCTGGTAAATCAAATGAAGAAGCTGAGGTGCATGGCCGTTAATGCTGATCTCAATAATATCAGAGAATGGCTTGTATCAAACAAGCTTTGTCTTAACCTAGTCAAAACGGAATATATTTTGATTGGATCACGGTACAATATTAACACTTTAGTGGAAGAACAACCGCGTGTTTTTATTGGAGATGAATCAATTAAAGGGGTTCAGGTCACAAAAGCTCTTGGTATCAAAATTGACCAAATTGACCATATTTCGAAAAATATATCTTCTGGAATAAGCGCTATGAAAGATTTCACTGATTCCTATACTTTGATGTCAGCTTATTATGGCCTAGTCCAACCCCATCTCGACTATACTGTTGTGAAGTTTGGAATTCCATTAGTACAGAGACCGGTCTGAACGACTACAAAAACTTCACAACAGATGTGCTAGAATTATAATGAACTTTAAAGATGAGCCTGGGCAATCTCAAATGGCCCTTGATCAATTAGGGTGGAAAAGCTTGGAAGAAAGCGCGAAAACATATTATGGCCCGGCTCATGTTTAAGGTTGTCAATAATATGGCACCCGTCGAGGTTCGCATCAATGTTTCAGAATTCTAACCATATCCACAGTTATAGTTTACGAGGTTCAAATTCGTCTCTCTTTCTGCCCCGACCAAATACCGAGTATGGCAGAAAATGTTTCCGATATAGTGGGGTTAAAATGTGGAATAGCATTCCTAAGTAAGAAACTACATTCCGCATAGCATTCCGAATAACAAGTAAGAAACTACAGCGAATCGTTTAGTATTAATATTAGTTTACCTCAGTTGTAATATCTACCACTGTGAATATGTGCTGTCATGCGAAGTGAGCGCTTATTAATAAATTAAGTTCAGGAAATAAAATCACATTTAGTACGTACCCTTTGCGTGTTCTCTCTTAAATATTTTGTATTCAGAGCACTAAGCACCCAATGTATTACCAAACCACGGATGCTTCGTCTCGCCCGAATAAACGTGTCTTGTTTTCGTGAGTGACACTAATTATGAGATTTCGTGTCTTGATTTCGTGAAAACATTGACACGCAATGACAATTATGAGATGTCGTTACGAGTGGTGCGAAAATAAAAACAAATCCAAAAGGATTATAAGCATTCGTGATGCTTATTTCTTACTTGTAAACACTGTATATAATATATGTAGGTTGTGATGTTTTGAATAAAATTTCAAAGAATTATAAGGCACGGACCATTGATTTTTTTCTTATTTAAATTAACAGCCTTATTTGGCACGCATGTAGATGTAGTATAGCCACCTATTATTATTGTGCATAACCATAGATATAGGAGATCTAGATTGCTAACACATACCTAGCGCAGGCGGGGCCTACATGATAAATCCAAGATGGCGGTACAACAGGGCAAAAAGACTATAAATTCTATTACGAAAATCAGGATTTTTGCAGTTTTTGCCGTCGCATTGTTTTGAAACTTATTCGGTCAAATTTTATGGTAAAGCGAAACTTACCGCGAATATTTTGAGCATATATATGATTGAACTGGATGAAAACTCGCAAAATTATTCATCGATAAATGTTCGTGTATAGTACTGATATAGTACTATATATGTAACTTGTACAGTTTTGCTTTAATTTTTGCTCACTATTTGCATAAAAAGCAAATTATAACAGACCATAGATGATAGACCCTCATCCAGTGCTCTCATCAGTTTACTTCTCTAACATGCATAACAGTTCATTTTTCATAATTATGAGGACAGAGCAGATGATGATGAGAGATGCAAGTATAAAACACCATTCACAAGGCTAGATGTTAACATAGGACAGTATTTCTGGCAATAAAACGTTCCAACTGACCAACTGACCATTTCACACAAACTTTTATCGCTGGATAATTTTGCGATTTTTCATCCAATTCAATCATATATATGCTCAAAATATTCGCGGTAAGTTTCGCTTTACCATAAAATTTGACCGAATAAGTTTCAAAACAATGCGACGGCAAAAACTGCAAAAATCCTGATTTTCGTAATAGAATTTATAGTCCTTTTGCCCTGTTATACAGCCATCTTGGATTTATCATGTAGGCCCCGCCTGCGCTAGGTATGTGTTAGCAATCTAGATCTCCTATATCTATGTGCATAACTAGCACATACTAACACAGTCAGCAGTGGCGGTAAGTTGGAAGTAGGTCTTGTGAACGTATGCTTTAAAGGCGGCGAGAGTGTTGTAGCTGTTCGAAGGAGCAGTTTTACATACATAGTTCCACAGATTTACAATCCTGACAAAGTATAGCCTGCGAACAGGCTCTCAAGCTGAATTGAGAGCCTGCATCGATGACTAATGAATTTGAATATCTGCCCCGTAACGTTCGTTTTTCCAAATATGGAATGTCTATCCTTATATGGTGTTGTTTACAACTTTCGTGCAAACTAAATTTAGACCGTGCAAACTAAATTTAGACTGTACAGTTTATACTTTTTTTCGAAATATAAGATATTCAAGCAAAAGTTCAAATGTTTTAAGTACTGTTTTCTCAAAACAGAACATTTCGTGCTTTGAGATAAGACGGCCAAGACCAATTTCATCAGTTAATGTGTTTTTTATGCATAATGCCGCAGTTGACATATATAGAGCTCAGCGGAAACATATAAATTATAGCATCTGACCAATGAGAATTTCGCGTCACGATTTGAGACGCAGATATTCAAATTCATTAGTCATCGATGCAGGCTCTCAATTCAGCTTGAGAGCCTGTTCGCTGGCTAGACAAAGTAGGAACTTTGGAATGTGCTAGTCTTATATTAAGACCTGTTTGGACTTGCAATTTTTGCTGCGATTTTTAGTGCGATTTTCTTCTTTGATTGATTGATTGATTGATTGATTGATTGATTGATTGATTGATTGATTTTAATAATCGTAATTTGCAGTTACAATGAAAACAACTGAATTATATACGATGTACAGTGATGAATAACCTAATAATATGTACATAACAAGTATACGTAATAAAAATTGGATTAGATATATGATTATAGTACAATTAAAAAAAATTAAATTACTGTTGAAGACTATTAGCGATTATGAATGAGTTCTTATACCGATCAGTTCGAATTCGAGGTAGATGGAATTTACTACATCGTCTTAGGGAATACAGACAAACTTTTTTCTCCGGAATTTGGGCCTCTTCAAAAAGTTTGCGGCAAGCAGCTGTTCTACGATCAAACAATAAATCTAACTTCGAGGTTTTAATAGCGTCGTCATAAGAGAGGTTCGGATATACTCTTCTCAGGAAACGCTTTTGTACCCTCTCAATCTCGTTGTGTAGATATTTCGGCAACGAGTTATGGAACACTGGTGACGCGTATTCCAAGATCGACCGGATACATGCGCAGTAAATTAGTATAATATCTTCAATCGGGACCCTTGCTCGTTTAAGTTGAGTCATCAGATATAATCTCTTGGTGGCTTTAGAAACGATTTTCTCTACGTGTACTCTCCATTTTAGATCACTGCTAATCGTAAGCCCAAGGATTTTAGCATGATTCACTATTTCAAGTTCTTTGCCGTTGACTAATATCGGGGCAAGCGTGTTACTGGTGTTACTATTCCTAGAAAAATCAATCCTAAGCTCTTTGCAATTGTCTTCATTTAGTTGGTCTAGGTTGGTTTCTGTCCAGTTTTGAACCTCATTAATACCCAACTGAATTACACTACGCTGACCTTTTTTAAGAATTTCCGAAAGAGTTGTGTCATCCACAAATTTCCAAGGATCGCTATGAGATGTTTCAGGTCATTTATCATTAGAACATATAACCAGGGTCCAAGTTTGGTACCCTGGGGGACACCCGCGCGAATTTCACTCCATTGGGAAAAACAGTTCGTTAATTTTACCCGCTGTATACGGCCAGTAAGAAAATCCAAGATCCAATTTGTTGTAGAAGGGGGGAGGTTAAGTTGTTTAATTTTGCCAGAGAGTTGCTTATGGTCTATAAGATCAAATGCCTTTCTGAAATCAAATAGGATTGTGCAAACTAGATTTACAGATTGGTCAGTGGCTTGTAACCAATGGTGCATCATAGATATTAATGCCTTCCCGTAAAAATATTTCAGTTCCAAGACATGCTTAATGAAAGTGAACGACATCAGGACGCAGCCAACGGCCTAATTGGCCTGGGCTTCAGATTTGGCTACTATCACCGAAAACGATATTTCAATAATAAAACATGCAAGAAAATCTCTACTTTTCGGCAACGGCAAATTATGGACAAAAAAGACGGAAACAACAGTTTATTTGATGTCACTATGGGTAGTTTCGACGGGTCTGAAATTTATGAGCTGGTAGGTCTTTTCATTTTAAATCACTTAGGTAAGAGGTTTGGCAAGGAAAACATCAGCCTTTATAGAGATGATGGTTTGGCTATTATAAAAAGCAAATCCGCCCGTTTACTAGACAAAACTAGAAAAGAGTTACACAAAATTTTCGAGCAATTTGACCTGAAAATCACCGCCGAAGTAAATTTGAAAGTTGTAAATTTTTTAGATGTTACTTTCGACCTGAACAACGCAAAACACAAACCATACAGGAAACCCAACGACGATCCATTTGGTACATCAACAGACACTCAAACCACCCACCAAACATTACAAGACAATTACCTATGCGGCTATCAACAAACGAATTGCACTTCTCTCATTGGACGAAAGTAGTATAAAGACACCGATTCTGGCTCACTTTGGTGACAATCCCCCCACCCCCAGGATGACAAAAATCCCTATGCGCACTTTTTACACGCATCTGATGACGTCACTCCGGTTTACCGCAAATTAGGCTTGCTCAGACATGCCCAAAAGGGGAATTCCCTTTTCCTAATTTAGTTCCTGGAACTTCGTTTTCCTGGAAAAAAACTATGGCGTCACTTCCGGTTTCTAAGACGTCATTTCCGGTTTACCACAATCCCTTGCACCCCTTTCGGAACCATCAGCCTACCGGACATCTCTTCCCCCTCCCACGCATCCTTTACACAGCCTTCTCGAGTCCTCCCCAAACCCCCCACAAACCTCCCACAAACCTCCACCCCATGCGCCTCCCACCCGACTGTCAGAGTCTTCCCAAAGTCTTCTCAAAGTCCTTCTAAAGTCTTTATAAGGTCTTCCCAAAGTCTTCCCACCGGTAAGCGGTTTAAAGGTAAAATTTTTTCATATAATAAAGGCACTATGTCTATTATCAGAGTATCAGACTCCGAAATTTCTCCGAAAATTCGTTCGCATTTGAGGATTCCGTCAGGAATAGGTTCGGGTCTAAAAAGATCGGACTTGTGGCGGAAGACGGTGGACCTCTTTTACTCAAGCTGGAAAACTGCCTGGCCTATGGAATTAACAAGAACAACAAGTTCGGAAAGGACAACTATACCATTCCGTTAGCAGTCGGAACACATACAGAATTTGTATCAGCTCTGGAAACGGTGGAGAAGAAGTATGCTGCGGTCGTCGGAAAACCCGACACCAATGTGATGAGATGTTTTTTCTATCGGAGTGGAAGGACAAATCATTTGAATCTTCAGGCCTTCAAAGCTGACATCACTGATTCCAAACTGTGTAATGACCCATGCTCCAATCTAGATGATTTGGTGAAACATTATGATAATACGCTATCACATATTTTGGAGAAACATGCCCCTTTACAAAGAAAGATAGTGGTTGTCAGACCAAGAGTACCATGGTTCAGTGAAGAACTTAAACGTATTAAGGCCAAACGCAGAAAACTGGAGAAAGTAATGCTACGATCAAATTGCCAAAATGATAAAGACGCTTATCGCCAAGCGCGTAACAAGTATGCTACCAGTTTGAAAAATGCTAGACATAAATACTATTCTGATCTTATCGATCAATGCTCGGGAGATTCAAGAAAACTTTTTAAGGTTGTGTCTTCACTTTGCAACACACCTCAAGAAAACTCCTTGCCTCCACATGATGATTCACGTAAACTGGCTGATGAGTTCGGAAAATATTTCTGTCGAAAGATTGAGCTAATTAGAAATGACATTGAAAACGTTGTAGTAGACCCACCATTAGTAGATTATCGTTTACCTGATATCAAATTAGACTCATTTAAGCTCCTGTCAGAAGAAGAAGTCCATAACATAATCATGAAGTCGTCGAATGCAACATGTAACCTTGATCCTATCCCAACATGGCTGCTGAAATTATGTGCCAGTGAGTTAACACCTGTCATTATGAAAATGATCAACTTGTCGTTAAGTGAAGGTCACGTCCCAGAAGCATGGAAAGTTGCCATTCTTATTCCAATTCTAAAAAAATACGGTCTTGATCTAGTCTTTGAGAACTTCAGGCCCGTCAGTAACCTGTCATTCGTTTCTAAAGCTACGGAAAAAGCAGTTGTTAGCCAGTTATTTGAGCATTGTGCTGATAATGCTCCTCTTCCTAACAACCAATCGTCATATCGTCAATTTCACTCTACCGAAACAGCTTCCTAAGAGTCCACAATGATATCCTTATGAACATGGACCAACAGAAAGTAACTCTTTTAGTGCTCTTGGATTTGAGTGCCGCCTTTGACACCATTGATCATGAAATTCTGATGGATATATTGAAGTTAGAATTTGGTGTGATCGGAAATGCCTTAAAGTGGATTAAGTCGTTTCTTTCCTGTAGAAAGCAGCGTATTAATATTAAACAAAAGTTTTCCGCCAATTTTACGTTGAACTGTGGAGTACCACAAGGAAGCTGTCTTGGACCGGTCCTTTTCCTATTATACGTGTCTCAACTGTTCCAGATTATTAACAGGCACTTACCTTCTTCCCATGGGTATGCAAATGACACTCAACTTTATTTATCTTTCCGTCCTGAGTCACCCGTTGTCCAAGACCAAGCTATTCAAACTATTAATAATTGCATCGTCGAAGTTCGTGCTTGGTTAGTTTCACATAAATTAATGTTCAATGACACTAAAACGGAATTCTTGATAATTGGAACTCGCCAGCAGCTGTCTAAGGTTACAATCGACTCGATTGAAGTTGGTGATGCTGATATAAAACCTGTACAAGAAGTCCGAAATCTAGGTTCGTGGTTTGACGAACATATGTCGATGAATGTCCATGTGGGCAAGGTTTGCAGCAAAGCATTTAGGGGCTTGTACAACATCCGACAAATAAGGAAGTTTCTCTCCATCGAATCAACTAAAACGCTCGTACATGCCTTTGTGACGTCACACTTGGACTACTGCAATTCTCTCTTGTTCGGCATTCCCCAATACCAACTTTTGCGTCTTCAACGAGTTCTCAATGCCGTTGCTAGAGTGACGTGTCTTATACCAAGATGTGCTCATATTACCCCTGTCCTGATGCACCTTCACTGGCTGCCTGTCAAGTTTCGTGTTGATTTTAAAATTGCACTTCTGGTATATAAAGCTCTCCACGGGATGGCGCCAGGCTACATTATGGAACTGTTGTTAGAAAAACCGAACTGCTGTTACCAACTGAGATCTGATGATCAGGGACTACTTTTTATCCCAAAAACTAGAGCCAAGACTCTTGGTGATCGAGCATTTGTGCATGCAGCTCCGTCAATTTGGAACATGCTACCTTCTGGTATTAGAAATAGTAAAACAATTGACTGTTTTAAATCTCAATTAAAGACTTTCCTTTTTAAGAAAGCTTTCGATTCTAACTTTTAGATTTATAGACACCTATACCTTAATTCTTAATATTTTAGCTACTTGTATATAGTATAACTTTATTGTTGTAAAGCGCTTTGGAATATTTTATATAATTTAAGCGCTGTATAAATCTTTATATATTATTATTATATTAAGGCAACCGGTTTTGTATGCGAAAATTGACCAGAGTACAGCGATATACAGGGAGGACGGGAGCGGGGATATAAGTCCGATGTAGGAGCGCGACGGACACTTCTACTTGGATGCTTTGATTAGGATTTCAAGCATATACCTATCTGGAAATATGGTTTCCGTTCAGGTAAAGCTTCAGGAGCCAAAGTGTTTGAGGGAGAAGGTGGCGGAACCTTGGAAGAGGCTTTTGTGAACCTAGGATAAATTTTTAATATCCCTCGCGGACATTAAAAATAAACGCGCATGCTTTATTGTTTCCTTAGATCCTTATGTCCAATTGCAGCCGTGTTTATCCCATCCCTATTGACCATCCTCTTATCATCGCTTGCCGATAGGGCTGCCTTAATAACCCTTTCCGTATATATTTCATGCAACCTACTTCTGAAGACATTCATTCCCCTCCATTGCCTTTTGCCGCTGAAGAGACATTCCTTATAGTTGTCGAATGTTTTCTCCTTTTTGATGACTGCTTTCTTAACACCCTTACACTTTTTCTCCTCATCACCATCCATCTTCCGCCATTTTGTAGGCGTATAGCTTTAACCTTAACCCTGCGAACTCTTCAATCTGCTTTGCACCCGTTTCTAGCTTCATCATCCCGATAACCTTCTTATTTACACCTGTCGGAATTCCGGACGGGGTTGCTGGTGTCGAACTTTTCGTGAACATCGTTGGAGATGTCCTTAAAGAAATCCTCGGTTTTAATTTCATAGCACAGGGAGTCCGTGTCCGTAAATAGGAGTCTGGCATTCTCCCCATATTTTGGCTTGATGTATTCATTATGAAAATCGCACATGAGGGTTTTGCTTAGGTCGAGTATGCTCATCCCGAGGTAGATGGGTTTGTTTAGCTTTACAGATGTTCTTTCCATGTGAACTGCCACAAGGTTTCCGGAGAAGATGGTTGCAGATTTAAAGTTATGCTTTTGAGCCAACTTATTCCACTTCTTCTCGTCGTTAACGAGCCTGATGTTGACCCTTTTCCTGACGTTTTCCATTGTTTTCCCGAATACCGAGTTGTTCATCAGTTTGAAGAAATCCTTCTCGAAGTCCGTAGTACCTTTGGTACGCAGGTCCGTATTGAGTTGGATATATTTCTTCAGCCATGGCTCTTCGACGAACCTTACCTCACGATGTATCTTGGTTAACCTTAACCCTAGACTTAGGCATTGCATTGCTTTAGCGTCTTGTGGTGGATGACATATTTCTCTTTGTTGTTGAGATTCGGAATAAGCTTGTCCACCTTGTTGATCTCCATTCTCTCGCGCGCGAGGGGGTATTCGTTGTGCTTGTCATGCAGTTCCTTAGGATACTCCAGGTCCACTTCAAGGATACAACCATAGTTTCTCCACTTTTCCAGCTCCTCATCACTCATCCATTTGAAGTCTCTGATGGGTAGAGGTTGATTTATTGACCATCCGTACAGGTTGTTTGCATCCATATAGGGAATGTGTATGCTTTCCTTTTTAGGATCGTACTTAACCATGTACTTATTGTTTGCTATTGCATACCTTTTGGTAATGGTACTAATTCCACCTCTAATACCCTTTTCAATGAATAGGTACATATCCGGATCGGAGATGAGCTCCAATTCCACTTCCGTCAGCTTCAGCGCAGCGTCCCAAGCGAGTCCGGGCGCTGTGTAGTACCACATTGGATCCAGTCCGTAGTTTGTCTTGCAGACCTTCCTAAAATTTTTCATCACGTCTGCCAGGAGCAGGACGTCCGTTTTCAGGTACAGGTCATGATAGTCCCTCATAGTCTTCATGCCGAAGACGTTCCACACGTTCTGCGCCCTTTCGTAATCCGCATCACTGATATCTGCATTGTTCAGCTTGCTAAAGAATTTGCTTTTCGGCGGAAGTGACGCTTTTTCGAGCTTATCGAAACCGTCCATGTATTCATAGGGGTAAACACCCTTCTGTTTGAGCATTTCCTTCTGTTCTCTGGTGAAACATGTTGACATTAGGTCCAAATTCCTAAAGTCGTCCTTATCCAAACCCTTAATGAGCTTGTCAGGGGAGCTTGCCATAAACTTAAACGAGTACAGGAACCTCAGCTCCCTTTTGACCTTCTTTTTCTTACCATCCTTACCCCTAATCTCGTCAACCTCTATTTCCTTGGTAAAGCAGATGTACTTTTCTTCCGTTTTAGGGATACATTTAATATCACCGCTGCTTACCCCAAGGTTTCTGATGAATAGATGGGCATCGTACACTTCGAGGTTGTGGTAGAGTACCGGAATAAATTTTGGTTGTTTCATCCTTAGATTGCATGTGTTGTGTGCCGCACCCCTATATACCCCGGTGTAGTGGCAATGGTCTCTTACCCTATGGTTTTCCGTAGTGAATTCTCCGTTGCAGGCATAGCATTTGGTTGCGTTCTCACAGTCGACGTCTTCAATGTCTTTGGGAAACATTTTGATAGGTTTTGCGGTTTTTAACCGATTGTATATATTGCGAATCTCCTCCTCAAGAAGGTCTACAAACTTTTTGGTAACGTCTTCTTCCTCATGTTGCTGGGTATAGTGTACCAGATGGGGTTTGTAGATGGAATTGTCGAAACACTTAACATAGTAGCAAAATCCGCTGGGATTATGCTTTTGGTATTGGACGGTGCTTGACTTCTTGAGGTTTTGTTCCACTGTGTCCAACCCTTCAATGTAGCACTCAAACAAAATCCGCATAGATGGCGAACGGAATTGTTTGTGTTTTCTCATAATTTTCGAACTTGGTGGTACTAACGGCTTCCGGATACTCATGCCTCTGATAATCATTGTCCGAACATAACTCCAGATGCTTTTCTAGAAGCTCATCCGAATTTCGTCCGAGTTGTATTTTTTGTGTCCGTATTTGCTGATTTGTGTGCTTACAAGCCTGGACATATCCTTGATGACGCTGTGGTGGTTCTTCCATAGGAATGTGTTTATAGGGTTGGACTGCTTGGTTATTTTTAGGGGATATACCTTTAGACTCTCATCAGCAATGAATACGTTTATACCGATGTTGTTATTTTCTTACGAATTTTTTGATATTGCTTAGGGGTGTTGGGAACTCTGTTCCTTCCCAGTTTAGCTCTTTAGTGTGTTCTTTGAGTTCCTTTGAAATTCTTTCGGGGTTGTGTTCGACCGGGTTTAGCGCACGGGTTACTGCCCACTTGAAGCACTCGTCGTCCGTATTTTTCATGTTGATGATCGCTTTCTTTTTATCGATCGGTTTGGGTAGCGGCATGTGACACTTTACCCTAAGTGGTCGGAATTCTCCGACACGGAGCCTCCACCCACCACCCTTCGGAGCCTCCACCCACCACCACGCTTTTGGTACTCTAAAAAGGACTTCAGCATTTTTTCCTTCATGATGTTGAGAGCCTCTTCTGTGTCAGCTATACTGACGAGTTTGTTGGTTTTTTACCTGAAGTGAGCGATGGTTGATACTTCCTCCCCAGTTTTTGGATCATTCCTTACCATCTCGCATGCTAGGGACATGCTTAAATTTTTTGGTTCCTTTTCGGAATTTATCAGCGTTGTAATCTCGTCTGTTGTGATGGTTAGGAATTAAGCCGGATCGTAGGCTCCGTTGGGATTGATGACGTACTTTTTTACCTTCTTTTTGATTCCGTGCTTGGATAGGATAGGTGCTAGCTTCTCTTCCGGGTTGGTGTCGTACCACTGTTCGTCCTGGTGTTCTCTTGCGTCATGCCAATGGTCTTCTTCCTCTTCCTCCTTGCTGTCGTTGTAGAGTTTTACTACCTTCTTCCTCATTGTGTTGAAGGCGTTGGATACACCTTTCCTGATGGATGACGGTACGTGGGTGGTTAGCCAGTTGTACCATTCCCTTATTTTGTCCGAAAAACTTTTTTTTTCGAAAATGTTGATTTAGTTACAGTAAAACTTAAGATTGTGCTTCATGTGTTTGCACCAAAAGTCCTTGGTTATTCCGTTCCGGATCGCCCACAACGCGCAGTCGAGGCACCGTTTCTCGACCGGTTCTGCCTTTGGTTTCTGGACGTACTTTGTCTTTCCGGAGTAATGCTCGAACATGTTTTCTTTAGGCATGGTTTTTATTGTAGGGAGACTTGTCTTTAAATTAAAATTTTAATGCATCTCTTACATTAAAAGCATCTCTTACATTAGGGGCCGGTTGCATAAAAACGTAATTAGCGCTAACTGTAGTTAGCGTTAATCACTGTAGTTAAATCCTTAACTGTAATTAGTTAACTACATGACTTAACTGCGTTGCACAAAACGTAGTTTGTCGGATAGTTAACTAATCAAGTAGTTAACTGTGCGTGGGGCTTGCGTGGGGCGTTTAAACACGTAAGCAGCGAGTAACGACCGCTGACACACATTTTCAACATGATTGTGGACTCGCATTTTGCAAATAGGCGGGAATTTTATTCAAAACAACTAGAAAACAGTGAAAAATAAACAAGAAAACAAGGAAAAACCGCCACAAAAATCATAAAAGAATGCAGTTTTTCCTTGAGATGTCTACGTTAAACCAAGGTCTACCTGTTTGGCAATTATATATCAGTGTTTCTTGGTGTAATGGACCATACTTCGTCTTCGAGAAATCGTCCTGTGCAAAAATATGTTCTGTTTTCGTAAAAACACCAATCGAAAGCGATAGCGTTTGATGAGTTTATATTGTCAGGAAACATTCACAGGGAAGATAGCGATTTAAAATTTCAGGTAAGTGTTGCTTTTCATTATTGTTTTACTGAAAAATGTTGTTCACTCCAATACAAACGCCATTTTTAACTACGTTTTGGACAGTTAACTATACCCTAAAGCATCGTTAACTTTAACTACTTTTTAACTGCAGTTAGCGCTAACTACACTTTTATACAACCGACTTAACTACGTGATTAAAGTTAACTATTTTTTAAGGCTTTTTAACTACTTTTTAACTGCAGTTAGCGCTAACTACGTTTTTATACAACCGGCCCCAGACCTATTTCGCCTATGGTTGTGATGATGACCGACATGCCTCGTAGTTAGTATACTTGCATAATCGCTTAATACGATCCATCTTTTCCGGACAGTTGAAATATAACTGGACCTCATTATCCGTTCTTCTGAAACTCGTCATGATTGTTTTATTTGTATGTAGGAAAGCCTTGTCTATAAATTGTTGATTCTACCGATTTTAATGTATGGAATATATTAAAATTATATCGTGTTTGATATCTCATCAATCTTTACCGAATAGAACATTTCGCATCCCAGCCATTACCGGCGTATCAACCAATTCATTATTCTCATACACTTCCCTTAAATATTTATCAAACATTGTATCCTCTTCACACTCACGCATCAACCTCTCCTCGTCCGTCTCCTCTTCGTGTCTTACTCTCATCTCCTCCAACATTTCCATCTCTCCTATCCGTGCCTCCGCCAAAATCTCCTCCTCCTCCATCTGCTCCGTCCGGGTTACAAAGTTAGGAAACCAATTATGTACGATATCCGTAGATTCACCTAGGTGAATCCTGTCCTCCGGACTTTTGAGCCAGCAGTCAATCATATCGATGGATTCGGAAATTGTAATTAGAATACGAATACCCTTTGAACCTTCGGAAACGTAATTCACACCTTTAATTCCGGCGTCCTTTACCATCCATCCTTTCCCAAACTTAATTCTGTGTTTTTCCAGCAGCCTGTTTCACCTAAGGTTAGGATAATGACCGTCATGTCCTCGTAGTTAATATACTTGCATAATCGCTTAATACGATCCATCTTCTCCGGACAGTTGAAATATAACTGAACTTTGGTATCCGTTCTTCTGAAACTCGTCATGATTGTTTTATTTGTATGTAGGAAAGCCTTGTATATTAATTGTTGATTTCAAACTCAAATCTACTTGAGACCTACCTAAAATTATTTTGAGACACTTTCAAGCAAAATTAAGGATCATTAAAATTATTTTGAGACACTTTCAAGCAAAATTAAGTTCACTTAGGTTTTACTTGGACAGTACTTAAAATTTTTTTTTGAGACGCTTACAAGCAAAATTAAGAGTATTCGTCCCCTACAGCGTACACGGTTTAAAAGAAAGTCATATCTCCTTCCATTTTCATCGAAAATTCCGGATTTTTCGCTTTCTTAACCATCTTGCCAGGTCCTACCTGGCCTGGGTGTAAGCAAAGCGTGGAAATAAGGATCGAACACACTAGGGTGTGTATATTTAAATTTTACTAAGTAAAATAAAACATGTCAGAAGAGAACCCGAGTACGGTCACAAATCCGGTGAAAACTCACGTCAAGGATCCAAAAAAAGTGGAGGCAGGACGCAGGCTTGCTAAGATCAGTCAGGAGGCAAAAGCCAGGAAGCGCGCGCAACTTGAAGCAATTAAAGAAGAGCAAAACGTTTTGGATGTAGAGAATAAATGTGAAGGGTCGGCGATTACCCTGGAGAGAGTTGGTATGGTGGTAGGTATTACTGTGGGACTTGGATCCCTCTACGTCATGTGATGTAATCGTCTGGAAAAGAGCGAAAAGCTGGAGGAAAACAAATCCACAGAAAAACCGCAACCCGCACCAAAACCGCAGGGTGCTCCAGACCTGTTCGACTGAAAAAGAAAATAAAGAATATAATAAAACAATGTTACAGTTATTCTTGGACATACTGACCTTTACCATCTACATCCGCATGTGTGAACGGAGGAAAACTTCACTTGAGAAACACGACTTTGAATGTAAGAAACACGATTTCGAATGCAGGAAGGGAGAGTCAGACACGGAAAGAATAAAAATTCCACGGACTAGGACATGAAGTTTTTGTTATAATAGAACACAATGACCGACATAAAGAAGGAAGTGATCAACGAACTGTACGATGCCACACTACTGACGACCGGGGTCGTCGGAGTATCCTACCTCGCTAGAAAGGTTGCTGGAAAAAGTCTCGGTGCACCGATGACCTTGGAAGGAGCGGCGAAGTTGACTGTTGCCGTAGCCGGAAGCGCATTTGCCATGGGATGTCTAAAAGATAAGGGATATATTCCCAAAATGATTCATAAATAAAAAATGACATCCGTTGTAGTTGGAGGATTATTTAATGCCGTGGCCTTTGCCGGAGCCGGATTTCTTTTCTCGAAATTAAATGGGCAAGGACACAAAGAAGAAGTGAAAAGACATAACCAAGCATTGGAAAAACTTGCGAAAGCAAAAGAAAAATTTTATGAATCCGAAGTAAAGCGGAGGAACGATGAAGCCCGACGTCGAGCCGAGACCCTGGATGCCAACAAGGACATTGAGGAAACAAACAGAGCGCTCGAAGATTTAAGAAATTTTACGAGACTTATGGACGACTCAGCATCCCGACAGAAACCAAAATTGAAAGATTATTATCATCCGTCGGACGAAATGAAAACGTATGCGATGATGACGATGGGTGTTTTGGGAGTTGGTAGTGCCTACGGACTGACACGGATATTTTAAATCTTATGGAAAGATTTAAAACTACTTTTTACTGTAAAATTACCAGATAACACAATAGTTTCGTATTTTCCGTCCTTTCGGTAACGGTTCCGGATGCGTCCACATCTCTAAACTTTAAACTCATAACCTGAATGGTTATACCTCCGGATCCGAGATAATCCTGAGTTATGAAATACATGAAAGTAACACGGATTAGACCATTTCCATTTTTCATGTGGAGAACAACATTTCCGGCAGAATTAGTGGAAAAACTAAGCGGTGCACCCCTAGTTGGAGTCGTGTTAGACCCATCAATCATGGCAAATCCTATAAATTTTGTATTGTCCACGTCGGATTTGGAAATCTCATCCGTCTTATAGCTGTTCGGTGGATAGGCAATGGAATTCGGAAATCTGTACCAGGCATACTGTCCACCTATACTGTGAAGTTTTGTGATTTCATTTTTATTCACGGCCACTTCAGCGGCGGCGGTGATGGTTTGGTTTTTGTCCGTCTGATTTATTTTATTTTCCAGATGTTCCAGCGTAGGTTTTGTTTCGTTAAAATAATCGTATCCGAATAAGATGCTCATTGTTTTTTTATTTAACGTCGAAGTACAAAATACGCAAGTCCGAAGGATGTTACCGCTGTCATACCAAGGGCAATATTCTGACTGTCGGACTTCTGTCTTAGAGCTGTTTTATTCCCTACCAGCGGTTGAAGATCTTCCGCGGTGGGAATTGGTGTGATGTTGTGACTGGGATTTGGACTTAGATCGGTACTATTTGTAAAGTGTTTGACAGGTTATATTCCGGTGTGATTAACTTTTTCATTTCTTCCGAACTTTATCCCATTTGCTAAATCCCGGAATGGGTTTCATCAGAATCCTTATTCCATTCAGGATTCAAACGGAACGTATCAGACGTAATGTTATAGCTTGTGAGGTCATCCACCTTCAAAAATATGTCTCTGGACTCCACGGTTCCGTCCTTTGCAAAGGCAACCTCAAAGTCAAATTTGGACATGGTTGCGTTGGGATACTTTTTCCTAAAATTTCCTTTCATTTTCCGGATTTCAATGGGCGTTTCCGCCTTCACTTTCTCGTAATTCTTCCCGTAGTAGTTGCGAAAGATATCCTCACTCATTGTTTTATTTTATGTAAAGTTCTAACAAAACATCTCCAGGAACAACTCCGGTGTTGGATCCGATTGTAAACCGGATTTCGTTGTACCTTCCAGCGTCCACCTGTACCTGACTTTCGATGTCATTGTACTTGGTCATGGTTCCGAAAAGAGGCTTGGTTCCATCGATCGGAAGAGAGGTGATGATGGTACTCCGATTTCCGTCTGGTCCGATGTTGTGCTCACGGTTCACGAGATTACAGCTGACCATGATGTATCGCAGACCATCGTGAATATCTACGGGACGGTCGCTGATGTGTGGAGTGTATGTAGGACCGTTGGAGGATCGGTATCCCAAAATCCCCGTGAGATTCCGAAGTCCCACCATCTTTGTCTCGCTATCGATGTCGATCTTTACCCTTCCGTCTGGATATTCCTTGAACGTCAGTCCGTTTTCCTCCATCTTTTTTCGTAGCTGTTTAAACGTCCAATATCCTTCATCCATCGTAACTTTCTTTCCATCTACGGAAATGTAGTCGATGTAACCCGCGCGAACGTTTTTGTAATTCCAAAACACAGCGGCAGTTTTTACGAAAAGTTTGGATTCGTGGGTAAGGATTAGGGGATCCCGAAGATTTATGATAATCCCTCCGTCCTTAATGTAAGTCGTTATCTTCTTCATGTTTTATTCACCGATAATAAAATGAGTTTGCAATTGGATGTAGCTCTTCGAGAAATATATTTTAACGTAAACTGTGGGTACATGTCGATGGAAAAACTATACCAAAAGGCAAAAAGAAGGTGTACCGGGTGTCAGCAGGAAAAACGTCAAAGAATGGTTGCAAACGCAGAACACGTACATCATTCACAAACCATCCAGGAAGCATTACAAAACCCAAAGGACATATGTGGACGGACTGGCATAGCAGATCCAGATGGAGCTTGTGGACATGAGCAAGTTCAGCTACAAGAATAAGGGAAACCGTTGGATTTTGACTGCCACAGAAGTTCTGAGTCGGTATGCCTTTGCTGTTCCCGTCAGGCGAAAAAATACCGAAAGTATGACGAAAGCTGTTGAAAAGGTACTCGCACAATTTAAGGAAAGGTTTGACGGATATCCGAAAGCAACACAATTCGACGACGGAAAGGAATTCTACAATGTAGGAGTAAAGACATTGTTAAAGGATCACGATGTCCATTACTTTTCCACGAGAACCTTCCAGAAAGCTACACTCATCGAGAGATTTAATAGGACCCTGAAAACAAGAATGTGGAAATATTTTACGGAAAACAATACGAAAGTTTGGGTGGACGTTCTACCTGCCTTCGTTAAATCCTATAATAATTCCTTGCACAGGACGATCGGGATGAAACCGGCGGATGTGAACAAGGACGAAGTTTGGACAAGGGTTTATGGATATCCACTGGACAGTTTTCCGAAACCCAAGTTCAAAATCGGGGATCAAGTCAGGGTGGAGATAAAACATAAAACGTTTGGAAAAGGATACGAACCAAATTTCGACAACGAGATGTACGTCATCACGGCGGTGTTTCGGGGAGATCCCGACATGTACAGCCTTAAGGATCCGGAGGATGGGGAAGACATTTTAGGAAGATATTACGAACAGGAATTATCTTTAGACTTAAATAAAAATGGAAACAGTGGAGATGAATGAGTTTAACGATCGACCGGAAGGTAGTGGTAGAGCCGAAGGAGGTGAGGACGAAACGGTAATTGACGAAGACGATTTTATCGATCACCTCAACCAAACTATTGAAATTTTTTCCGTGAGGAGAACAAAGACGACACATACAAAATGAGGAAGAAGCAGACGGATAGGCTGTACTTAATCGGAAATTTTAATGGCACGAAGGGAGAGTCTGCCAGAGAATTGTTGAATAGCGAATACCGAATAGATCCGACCGACGGACTAAATTCCAGGGAATTTATCTCTCGTTTAGAAGCAACTAAAAATAGGCTGAAATTCGACGAAACCCTTATCGGATACATTGATACGAGTGGTGCATTCAGAATGTCCGAAAATAAAAGATCTGGCGGGTCCGTGGCAGCATTCAAAAAGCTATATGAAAAAGCACTAATCAAACACAAGGAGAAAGTCCGCAGCGTGGTGGAAGAGGAGACCTGAGGAAACATGCTAGAGGAGAACATCGAGGAAATCTACGACGACGCCGAGGAGGAATTTCACCAGGACGTTGTCAACGCAAGCGATAACCTTGCGGAACAAGCGGAAAGATTGGAAAGTGAAGGAAAAATAACCGAACAGGAAAGAAGGGAATTTGCAGGAATAACTGCTCCTAAAGGACCGCCGAAGGGAAGAATCAGACACATGGACATTATAATGAAGGAATGGAAAAGTAACCTCGAAAAAGAAACCGACGACGATAGACGACAGATAACACAGAGGGCGGTGAACATTGCCGAACAGCCCATCGATGATGTAAGGCTGGAAATGGGACAGGTCCTAGGTCGGAAGAGGGAAAACACAGATACAGGACAACATCCGAACAAAATTTGAGAGATTCCGCGTGTGGGCAAAAGAAAACATGGGGGCGTTAATCCCCATTGCCATCTCCATTGCCGGAATTATTACGACTGTGGTGGTGGCCGGAACGAAGACCATCACGGGAGCAGCTAATGGACTCGGAGCTGCTGGAAAAGCGTTGGAAAAGTTTGCAAAAGCTGCACTGCCAATCCTGGTACCTATTTTAAACATGTTAATTACCAGTGGCGTAACTCCTACGAGCTCTACCCGGTAAGAGCCGGGGGCACCCAGACCTTGTTCATCTAATTTCCGTTTCGTACAACTATTTAAGGACCTTGCATGTTAAGATTTTCTGTATCAACTACACTAGCACAGATGGTATATAACGTGACTTCAGAAGTTGAAGCGAAAAAAGGAAAAGTATGTACATATATACTATGGAAATAATGTCTTCGGAGCCAATGGCAGTGAGAAGTACAGGACGGGTTCCGAAAAACAGAAATGACAAACAACCGATCTTGTCAGAACTATACAGCTTTTTCAATACAATCATCAACCGATCAGCTGATCTCAAGAAGCTTGTCCAACAGCTGGACTGCATAACCACTGCAGGAGAAGATAGAAAATTGACTCTGAAAAGACTTTATACAACTCGTTGGTCTTCGTGAACTGATACAACCAGGGCAACTAAGAATTGATTGGGTGATATCATTCGGCTGATGAAAGGATACATCAAAGATTCTAAAAGTAAAGAAAAGCAAGAGGCCCAAAATCTCCTCAAACATATAAGCATTATGGAATTCATTATTTTGCTGAACACTTGGGAAAGAATCCTTTCTTCAATAAATTTAGCATCCAAAGCTTTTCATGCAGTGGACATGGATCCCGGAATTAAAAGTGAATTGGGGACAGCGTTGAATAATGTTAGAGAGATGGCCGAATAGAATTAAATTCTAAGGGGATCTGCAGTGTTTGCTCTTAAAGTTGGCATTCTTGTCTCCTCTTTTATTGAGAAGGGAACAATAAAAGTTCGTAGATTTTTTGACGAGGAAGCAAGAGATAAACCCATCGCTGACCCAGAGAAGAAATTCCGTGTCGAAGTATTCTTATTTATTGACACGGCTACATCGCAACTAGAAGAACGGTTCAAAGGTCAGACCTTCGTATATTGCGGATGACAGCTAGTGACGTCTATTGTGCTGCCAATAATCTGATTTCTACTTACAAATTTGACCTGTGTTCCGAGCTTGAAACCCCAGAGGACTATGCTAATGATTTGACTCAAGACGTTTTGTCATATAGATTCTGTTCCAACGAAGAATTGCTCGGGATGACTTATAATTTGAAAAAATAAATGTGGAATCGACATTTTCAAACACATTCAAATAGATGAGTTGATCACATCATATTCTAAGTTAGCATCAGCAATTGTTTTGCTTTGCTACCTGTAACAGTTGCTACAGCAGTTGAGTAAGTTGAAAATAATTAAGACTTATCTTAGGCCACCTATTGCACAAGACAGATTAGATGCGCTTTCCCTGATCTCAATAGAGTCAGAGGAGGCAAGAAAGCTTTCCGTTGATAAAATGATCGATTGAGATTTGAATTACCTTCATGCACGTTTCAATATTTCCAAGCCCATGATAATACGTTCTAGTAAAAAAGGTATGAATGTAAACAAGTTTGGTGGCTCTTACAATGTATTATGAGCTTGCAAATACTGAAACGTGCACGAAGGCACATCAAAACATGACAGTTGCGCCAAAAATAACTGAAGGCTTTGCACTGTGACACGTCACATGAGCGGTGAATACATTTCCGTTTCCGAGAGTAAACGCTAAAAAAACGCGCGAAAATGTTTGCCATTTGTGCTTGAATGCAAATAACTGTAAGTACAGAGGCAAATATTTCACTGTTTATGTCAAAGACAATTTCTGCATGGTATTATTTTATAGTTGTGTTTTTTGTATTTTGCTACATATTTATATTTCCAGTTTTAAGAAGCCCATTAATTAAAATTGGCGTCTAAACGACTAGCAAAATGTGCATATTGTCAAAGCTTCATGGTATACTTCAAAACGATGTAGGATGCCCCCGCCTTGGGGGCATCCAATCCCGGTAGGACCAGGGGCAGCCTGGTTCAAACTTATGCGCCTGTTAAGTACGATGCTAAGTTGGAGAGCCAAGGGTCTTGCCTTCCTCGCCCAGAATTTGTGGATCGTGGCGATCGTAATTGCCGGAGCTATATTCAGGTATTTGCAAAATAGACGTAAAAATAAATATCCTTTTGTACTATAATAAAACATAATGAACCGAACGGTTGAACTTATGCCTGATTTCCGACGTATGAACAAGGCAGAAATCACCGGAGATAGGACCCGACACGTCCTAACCTTCAACTCCAACTCTGCCAGACCCGAAGAAGAAATTTACGTTAATATTCCAAAACTAAAAGCCGACTCCGTTCTCGTACCGGACAACATGGCTCTGGTCTTCGACTTTAAGAACAGTAACACAAAATCCTGGTTCAGAAACAACTTAGGAAAACTACTCCAAAGGAGATTGGAAATTCGCCTCGCAGGAGAAAAAGTCTACGATAACAGTGGAGAAAGTTTGTTGGAGGTCTATAAGGACCTATGGTTACACAGGAAACAGCGTGACGACATGGTGGAGGATGGTATTGCTAGCGAAGCCACAAGGAAGAAAATATTCAAAGACGATGCTGCAAACGACGATGTGGATGCCGCCGCATTGTTCGAAGTATTCGGAACGAAACAGAGAATCCGAATCGGTAAAATCCTAAAAGATCACGGACTCTACGCTCCACACAATAAGGCAAACGATCTACAGTATGTCATAACCCTACCAGCGGCAGATGAAATCATGAACGCACAGGGGGGGGGGAGTGGAAGGGTATACCCTGGAAAACATTGAGTTGGAGTACGAATCCATCGACAATATCGGATTGGCAAGAAAAGTGGAAAGTCAGTACAACGTCGGACGTAAGCTGTCTTTCGAACATGTCATCCTGATGAAAAAGACGAATGGAGTAAGGACTCCGCCATTATCAACGAAACGATCAACGTGCCACGCAGAAGCATGAAAGCTATCGTCATTTGTTTACGAACAAGACAAAGACAGACAGTGAAGAATATGTTTAACCCAACATCGAAAAGGTTAGGGTAACCGTGGAAGGTGTGTCCAACGCAGTCTACAGTCAAGGTATTCCGAAAACAAGACTGTACGAAGAGGCAAGACGATTGTTCGGCACCGGTGAAATCAGTCATCAAACGCTAACCAACTTTTTCAAAGACAAAAAGTTCGCGCTGGTCATCGATCTCAGAACCGTAAACGATGTCAGCACATTTGGAAACGGTGCTAAAATTCAAACTACTCAGTCTGGAATACTGGTGGAAATCACGAAAAAAGCTACAACTGCGAACGTTGTATGTCACATGTTCGTTCTTTCTGACGGTGGCATTGGAATTGAAAACGGACAATTCACCGGAGTACAGTACTAAAATAGTAAAAAAAATATTTAGGGATCATGGTTTTTCCAAACCCAAAAGGGTGTGGAAAATTTCCATACTTAGTTGTCAATGTCGGTTTTTGGTTCTTCTTCGGAAGGTGGTGGTTCGGGTGTTCTTCGGTAAACATGCTTTACGGTCGTCACTCCACCGGTAACCATCCCCAAATAGGGTATGTATGGGGACAACTTTCCCACCACGCTTTGACATCACTCCTGAACAGTTTGTCCTGATTTAGTTCCGTCTTTAGCTCTTCCCCGCTGTCCACCATGTTGATGACTTCCATAAGACCGGAAAATTTACCAATCAGGGCTTCCGTCAGCAGGATGTTTGCCTTTTCCCTTGTTCCCTCCGGACTTTTGCAATGACTTTATCAGACGCTTTCCTGAGATATTTTTCAGACTGAGTAATCTCTCCCGCGTTGGACAGACGGATAAGCTCCGCCCTGTGGTCCTCAATCTCTGTTTCTTCTGCGGATTCCTCGATGGTCTGTAATTTCGATTCCATATCTTTTACTATAACATCGGAATCTTTACCTCGTGCCGGATTGAACGGATGAACCAGGTTTACCTCAAGATGGGCGTATTTGTTTTCCTTCAGCCTTTCCTTAATAGATCTCATTTCCTCGCTGTCGACAAAAAGATATTCGTCCAAAATAATCTTCATGTCCTGTCTGTTCAGATTATAAAATGTTACCAATTTCGAAATATTTTGTCGGTATGGTTTGGCAATGGAAGTCAGTTGCTGAGTGATAACGATGGTGGAAATACTCATGTGACATGCGCTAAACCCAAGATCAACCAGCTCCTCCGTACGATCCTTCACGGACTTGGTGCTGGCACAGTCGTCTAGGATGATGAGGGATTCCTTTCCCTTTGTGAAATCCACGACAAATTTAAGATACTTCTCCACGTCGTCCTGTCGGCAGGGAATGACAAAGAAACTTTCATCCTCGTGAATGAAATCCTGGTCGTAGGTCCTATTCCAGTGATAGGTGGGACAAATTAAAAATATATTTTCAAATTGATGAAAAAACGTGGTTTTCAATTCCTGGACAAGGTAGTGTGTCTTTCCACAGACTGTCATACCTACGATAATCATGTTAAATGGCATTTTATTTTCCGGTTGAATAAAAAACACTATAGCAATGAACAACGAAAAGAGAAAGAAAAAATTCAGCGGAAACCAGAAGAAAAAGGAAGTGAACATCGGTGTTAAGGTAGATAGGGGTAACCTAACCTTTGGCGCAGATGCAAGAGTTTAGTTCAACAGTTCCAGCGTAAAAAACTATAGATATATGAACAAGGGTGAGTGCTGTCCAAAACCCAGACTAAAACCTGAGCTGGAAAGTAAACATAAACCAAAGCCGAAGCCGACGGAAGATAAGAAGAAGAAATAAAAATGGGATGCTTGTCCACAAAACCTAAAATCACAAACGGGGTGAAGTACGACAAAGACCACCGAAAAAGAAAAATGTTTAATAACCTGGGTATTGGCATTAAACGAGGAGACATCACGATGAGCGCACATACTCAGATCGGTTACGTCAGCGCAACGGTAAAACAATATGAAAAACAAAATGATGAAGGTACCACGAAAACTGGTGTGGCTGTGCCTGATCAGCTGCCTGTTGATCCCGATAACGGTTGAGTTTCTTCTCGTCATCGTCACCCTAAAATTACTATTTCAATTTTAATGCTTAGCGAAACATTAAAATTACTCAATATACTCCCAGCCTAATGCTTGAAATATCTTCTTACACCGATTATGGGAAACCCTGCTTTTCGGAATCTTAAGTAGAGTCTCATCTATTTCTATGTCAAGTCTTTTACATATTTAATAAGTTAGGATGTTGAGGTTAGGGAGCCTCCTCTTTTTGGGTTCCTCTGCATTGTAAACTCTCTCAATATTTCTCACGATCTCATATTTTTCTTTTCCCGATAAAACAAAATCTGTTATTTTTCTCTTGAAGCAAAAATTCTCATACCTATAACTGATGCTACTTTTGTCCTGACCTCTTGGAATTGCTGTGTCCCAGCAATTATACCCGGAAACAAAGACGGAATAAGTTTCCAGTCCACAAAAATTGCATGTCATTACTCCGGAAAGATTAATAAGCTGATGTCTGCGTCCTTCAAAGCACAACTGCTGTTCGCACGCTTAGGCGTCCAATTGCTGTTCCTTGCGACTGAAGTATTCCTTTTCCGCTTGCTTGAAAAGAACCATGTTTTATTTAGATCTGAAAAGTCTTGTCTTTAAACCGCTTACTGGTGGGAAGACCTTATAAAGATTTAGAAAGACTTTGGGAAGACTCTAACAGTCGGGTGGGAGGCGCGTGGGGTGGAGGTTTGGGGAGGAATCGAGAAGGCTGTGTAAGGGATGCGCGGGAGGGGGAAAAGATGTCCGGTAGGCTGACGGTTCCGAAAGGGGTGCAAGGGATTGTGGAAAACCAGAAATGACGGCATAGAAACCGAAAGTGACGTCATGGTTTTTTCCAGGAAAACAAAATTCCAGGAACTAAATTAGGAAAAGGGAATTCCCCTTTTGGGCATGTCTGGGCAAGTCTAATTTGCGGTAAACCGGAAGTGACGTCATCAGATGCGTGTAAAAAGTGCGCATAGGGATTTTTGTCACCCTGGGGGTGGGGGTGGGGGGATTGTCACCAAAGTGAGCCAGAATCGGTGTATTTATACTACTTTCGAACAAACATTTAAGGAATCTACGCCTATTTACCAGAACGCACTTAGACATAGTAACTTTGATCACGAATTTACGTACACTCAGGATGCACCGCAACGGACACGTAGGAATAGGCAACGCAACCTAATTTGCAAAGTTCAACCCACCATTTTGTAAGAGTGTTAACACTAACATAGGACGGGAATTCTTAAGTTTAATTGACAAACACTTCCCTCTACAGCACAAACTACACAAGATTTTCAACAGAAACACTTTAAAAGTAAGCTATAATTGCATGAACAACGTTAACTCTATAATCACCAAACGCAACGCACATATAATTAGGAACAGCCAATCACAGAATACGGAAACTGACAACTGTAACTGCGACAACAAAAACACTTGGCAATGCCCACTATACCGAAACAATGTATGACCAACAACATTATTTACAAAGCCACAGTCACAACGAACAACACGAACGACACTAAACACTACATTGGTATGACAGCGACTATATTTAAGGAACGTTACGCTAACCACACTTCATCTTTTCGTCATAAAAAAGACTCAAACAAAATGGAACTTTCGAAACATATTTGGAAATTAAAAGAAAACAATCAGGATTATACCATCAAATGATCAATTTTAAAACACGCTATTTCGTACACAGGGGAATCTAAACGCTGCAATTTATGTTTGGAAGAAAAATTTTGCATTTTGAAAGACATAAACAAAGACAATTTACTCAATAAAAGAAGCGAAATTTTCGGCAAGTGTCGTCACAAAAACCGGTTTCGAATAAACAAGGTCGTTAACAAAATCTAATGACCCAAGCATGCATTGTTTCACCTAAGCACTGTTTCGCCTAAGCATTAATTGTTTCGCCTAAGCATTGTTTCGCCTACACACATTCCGCGCATTCTTTCGATAGCATAAAGCAACCTATATTTTCGAAATTACTCACCACTTGATGCTTCCTATACGGATGAAACAGACTGTTGTGGTTATATATATATATATGAACGATGAATAAACGAATTATCAAGATGGTTCTAAAATAAACAATGAAGGTTCTTTAAAATCTTATACCTATCCCAAGCAAAAAAGCAAAAAATCCAATGTTTTATCTCGGACATGGAATGAAAAACTACCCTTCCCTTATCCGGGCATTTAAATAAATTATCATAAATTACAGTATAATTAGTACGCGTCTCGATCCTATAGTATCTAATCCTCAATTTGAAATCACAAATTTTTATTCACACATACACAAGACTAAACAAGAAAATTAAAAAACAACGTTTTTTTAATTAATTAAACATAAATTAAGTTAAATAATAGGCAATTCCAGCTTTTAATTTGTGCGCGCAGGGGGTGACGGGAAGTAAGGTACCACATTGCTGATTATGCTGAAACATTTCAGTAAAAACTGCCGAAACAACCGAAATATTTCAATATTTACAAGTATAAGCTATCACTCCGTGTTTACACGGCCGCCATTTTTATTTTTGCAGCATAATAAGCAATATGATACCTTACTTCCCATCTTCCCCTGCACGCATAAACTAAAAGCTGGAATTTGCCTATTGATACAATTGAAATAAAATCCACAAATAGATGCCAAATATATATAGTTGCTAAATGCATTTTACAAGAGCCAAAAAAATATCTTTGGATGCATACGCATTAACAGCCTTCTTTTTACACATACAAAATTTTCGTAAATGTGGTAGATCTCTCGCGATGCATTCTGGTTGATTACCGTACTTGTTCACTCTACTAATACTCTTGCTTACAATAAACCATTCCTTGTGGTATCGTACTGTTGCTTCGTATGTGCCGTTATTTGGAGAGGTCGTGAACTGTATTTGATAGCGACAAAAATCTTTATGAGGCGGTCTTGATTTATCGCTAAATGCGGGCAGTAAATCATTTGTTTGTTTAAATGATAAAAGTTTGTCATTTGGTCGTTCTAACAAAGCGTAGTTTATGTCTTTCAGTGTTAACTTTCGACAGTTGTTAGCGCTCAGTTGATGTTCAAGATTAGCATTGTTCATGAACTCTACTGCCGCGAGCGCTGAATTGTTTACATGACTATGCTCTGGAGCTATACTTTCCCACTCTAAACATGGACACCAATGTTTTTCAACACTAGCTTCAGCACAGGTGCGTGATGAAGGAACTTCTGTAAACAAACTTTGACCATGTTTCAGGTTTGTAGGGACGTCTGGGTAACTAATCATGTGACGAAATGTAGCGTACACGTCATACCATGACGTCAGACGATTGGTATTTATTTTCAGATTCTTGGAAATCCCTGGATATTTTTCTAGAAACCATGATGGAAATGTCAATGAAAATAGTGGAAGTCTTTCTTCGAGTTTTCCCTGCATCAAGGTACGCACTTTGCCATAGCGATTGCCATGATCTCCCATGACTATCAGTAAAGTGTTGTTAAAATGATTATTTTGTTTTAAGTCCTTAAGAAGTGAGAGTAGATCTGGCTCAATCCTTGCTGCCTCGCTGTTAGCGTTGTGGGAGTAACGTACTAGAAATTGAAGAAAAAAAGTCAAAAAGAAATCTGACATGCATGATAAAGACACGAGAGAACATACAATCGTCGTTGGCAGTCTTAGCATCTAAGAATGAACATGATGTCGTATATATTGAAAAAGATATTCTCTTGAAAAATCCATTTTTACATGAACCCTCAATCACTGTAACCATGCCTTCAATGGAGCATTCCGCTTTTTAAACAAGTTAAGCATGATAGGCTGAAATTAACATTAAAGACACTAGCAGAGGCAATGTTTTTATCTCTGATTGTTCTTTTCCAGATGCAAGCGACAATGTTCATGAGAATAACCCATTAATCGTTCAGCGAAGTATAGTTTGATCCCAGTCTTGAGACCTTTTAACTTCTTTCCATCTCAGCTCTAACATTAGACGATTTACCGGGTGTCTCAAAAAAAGTACCACCGTTTGATGTAATAAAATATAGTGAAATTCTAATTTTCGAGCTGATGTTAGTAAAGTTCTCATGAAATTCCTTGTGCTAGGTTGGAAGGTGATATGAGGATATCTTTCAATACTTCATATTCCACAGTCCATCCCAGAAAGCGGGATTGTATAAACGCACACTTGTAATCACCTTTGGAATAGTGACCTAATTTGTGAAGGTTAAAATGACTTTATCTTTAATCTTTTAATCCGTGATTACTTTGCCGTTCTACACTGGGCACATTAAAATAAAATTAATATACTACTAGAAAATACATGCATGCAGAAACCCTCGCCTTGCTGACAAAACCATTGTATTTTCCGAACATGAAGTATCTAAAGTAGTTGTCATGATAACACGATAATTTTTTAAGAATATTCTTACAAATCGCGTGAATCGCCTAAAAATATCACTTTTAATTACAAAATTATCAATTTCCCAACATATATATATATATATATATATATATATATATATATATATATATATATATATATATATATATATATATATATATATATATATATATATTATTATTATA